TAGCAAAAAATGCCTTGGGCATAAAATTGTCAAGAGGTCAAGTGGTTAACATGGACATGGCTTTTAAATATTGTTAAGTTAAATGCTGCAATCTAGTTTACCTGATGTCTCAGCCACAGATATTGTGCACACGACAAATTTGATTCTTCCAATTGATAGAAGAGGTCTTTTAGCACATCACTGTTGTTTAGGAATTCTATCCAAGCAATTCCACTTAAGCAAGGAGAGAAAAGAAAAAAAACCCAGTAAAACCAAATGTGGCCTTTTTATTATGTATCTGCAATTTGTGGTCCAAATTCTAACCTGAATTTATCTGGTCCAAAAGCACCATAAAAACTAGCCAATCTGGCCTGTGCTCTTAGTACCTAAAATGTTGAACAACAATATAAGATAATTAAGATCATCTCAATGAACGTCTCCATAAATACAATTTATTGTAAAATATCCAAATCTTTACATCGATGATGGAAATTGGAATATCATCTGAAGTTACTGGTAAAGCCTTGTCCTCCCGTCTCTGAATCTGAAAGGAAGAAAAATTAGAGTGAAAAAAAAAAAATACAATCAAGTCCATGTAAACATGTGCTTTTGATCTTCAGCTCTACTTCAGACAAATTGCTTTATATGAATTCACACATACACATGAAGAGTTGTATCTGCTAAAAGATTTGTAATTCTTCTAGCCATTTTGTGTTTCATACATCTTTGACTACCAGTCAGTTCAGCTGGGAGTAAAGTTAGGGCCCTTTCACAGACTTTCCGATCAGGTCTGTTAGTTCTTCAAGTGGATCGAACGCTCCATGCAGTTCTATGGACTCGTGGGTGCAAACAAACTTGTCTTTTTACATTTTTCTGGACCTAAAAGTGACAGATCTGAGGTAGCTTTATGTTCAGTGCCTTGAAAAAGTATTCATACCCTTTGAAATTTTCCACATTTTGTCATGTTACAACCAAAAACAAATGTATTTTATTGGGATTTTATGTGATAGACCAACACAAAGTGGTACATAATTATGAAGTGGAAGGAAAATGATCAACGGTTTTCAAAATGTTTTACAAATAAATATCTGAAAAGTATGGAGTGCATTTGTATTCAGCCCCCTTTACTCTGATACCTCTAGTTAAATCTAGTGGAACCAATTGCCTTCAGAAGTCACCTAAATAGTAAATAGATTCCACTTGTGTGTAATGTAATCTCGGTATATTGCCTTCAGAAGTCACCTAAATACAGCTGTTCTGTGAAGCCCTCAAAGGTTTGTTAGAGAACATTATTGAACGAACAGCATCATGAAGGGCAAGGAACACACCAGACAGGTTAGGGACAACGCTGTGGAGAAGTTTAAAGCAGGGTTAGGTTATAAAAAAAATATCCCAAGCTTTGAACACATCAAAGAGCACTGTTCGATCCATCATCCGTAAACGGAAAGAGTATGGCACAACTGCAAAACATGGCCGTCCACCTAAACGGACAGGCCCTGCAAGGAGACCATTATTCAGAGAAGCAGCCAAGAGACCTATGGTAACTCTGGAGGAGCTGCAGAGATCCACAATTCAGGTGGGAGCACCTGTCCACAGGACAACTATTAGTCGTGCACTCCACAAATCTGGCCTTCATGGAAGAGTGCCAAGAAGAAAGCCATTTTTGAAAGAAAGCCATGAGAAGTCCCATTTGCAGTTTGTAAGAAGCCATGTGGGGGGCACAGCAAACATGTGGAAGATGGTGCTCTGGTCAGATGAAACCAAAATGTAACTTTTTGGCCTAAAAGCAAAATGGTATGTGTGGCAGAAAACTAACACTGCACATCACCCTGAATTCACCATCCCCACTGTGAAACATGGTGATGGCAGCATCATGTTGTGGGGATGTTTTTCCTCAGCAGGAACATGGAAGCTGGTCAGAGCTCATGGGAAGATGGAGCCACATACAGGGCAATCTTAGAAGAAAACCTGTTAGAGTCAACAAAAAAGACTTGAGACAGGGGCGGAGGTTCACCTTCCAACAGGACAACAACCTCAAAACATACAGCCAGAGCTACAATGGAATGGTTCAGAACAAAGCATATTCATGTGTTAGAATGGCCCAGTCAACGTCCAGACCTAAATTGAGAATCTGTGGCAAGACTTGACGATTGCTGTTCACAGATGCTCTCCATCCAATCTGACAGAGCTTGAGCTATTTTGCAAAGAAGAATGGGCAAACATTTCACTCTCTAGATGTGCAAAGCTGGTAGAGACATCCCCAAAAGACTTTCAGCTGTAATTGCAGCAAAGGTGGTTCTACAAAGTATTGACTCTAGTGGGCTGACTACAAATGCACACCACACTTTTTTTTTTTTTAATTTGTAAAAAATTTTGAAAACCATTTATCATTTTCCTTTCACTTCACAATTATGTACCACTTTGGGTTAGTCTATCACATATAAAATCCCAATAAAATACATTTAAGTTTTTGGTTGTAACATAACAAAATGTGGAAAAGTCCACTTACATCTGGTGGCCCATAGAGCTATCATGGGTCCACTCATGTCCACTGGACATAAACTGAATGAGCACGGATGTAAAAAAAAAAAAAAAAAAAAAAAAACAAAAAAAAAAAACGGGACATCCGTCTAGGTTAGCTCTGATTCAGATGATCCACTCACAGATCCCCTGCTGAACGGCTCCATGTGAAAGAACCAATTCATTAACTCTTGCTGTCAGCATAGCTTGGTTAGCTATATGTGCTGCAGCTCCCACTCTCTGCCAAGTCTTTAAGAGTTGCTATGCAAGGGATGACAGTATCTGGTATCAAGACATAAATACATTATATATGTTTTAACCACTTGCCCCTCCTGAGGATCACCCAACAGTAACCAGGGATGCACAGGTGGTAGACAAGGTGGTAGACTGCAGCAGAGACTGTAGCACGTAGACTGGAGGAGCTCAAGCGTGTAACAAAAGTGATCATAACAATACAATGCCAAGAAGAAACCTTTTACACACAAGTAAAACTGTTTTTATGTCTTCCTTAAACATACAAATTCAGAGAGTGTTAAAAGCATTGTACAAATTGCAGTGGTGCACATTCATGGATCTGACTCTAGTAATTTGCAGTCTGAGTGGTTGTGATATAGTAGAATACAGAATTGAATTATTCTCTTAAAAAATCCAGTAAATATTTAGCCTATTTCTGAAGGTGTAATTGATGAATAGTTAATTGGCAGACTATATGATCTGATCATTTGCCCCACAGGGAAGTCACTTACTATTAAGGATCATTTTTATTTTTGCAGGAGTTATGAAAATACGACGCATACAGGTTTCACTCTAATGCATTTAAAAAGACAACAGCCTGTAACACTAGTGCATTTATAAAGAAGAATTCCTTTGTATATTCATCACTAAAGAGCATGTAATACCAAATATGGCAAAGTGAAACGTCCATCCATGCCTATGCATGGGTCTTTTACCAGCATCAGTACAAAGAAAACAAAAAGAAAAAAAAAAAAAAAAAAAAGAAGCAACGAGTCCTTAATCAGCTAACTTTAAAATTTAATTAAAAACATCTATATTTTTTTTGAACATTAACCACTTGCCCTCCTGAGGATTTACCCCCCTTAATGACCAGGCCTCTTTTTGCTACTCGGCGCTGCACTAATTCAACTGATAATTGCGTGCAATGCTGCACCCAAACGAAATTTATGTCCTTTTTTTCACACAAATAGAGCTTTCTTTTGGTGGTATTTGATCACCTGTGCGCTTTTTATTTTTCACGCTATAAACAAAAAAAGGCCAAAAAGTTTTAAGAAAAACGATATTTTTTACTTTCAGCTATAAAAAATATATAGTGAACTCAAAGTTAGTTATAAATTTAGACCAAAATGTATTCTGCTACATGTTTTTTTTGGTGAAAAAAAAAATCCCAGTAAGTGTATATTGATTGCTTTGTGTGAAAGTTATAGCGTCTACAAACTATGGTATAGATACTGCAATTTACGCCATTTTTTTTTGCTATACAGCGCTGCGCTAGTTTAACGGACAATTGCGCGGGTCATGCAATACGGTACATAAATGAAATTTATGTCCTTTTTTTCCACACAAATAGAGCTTTCTTTTGGTGGTATTTGATCGCCTGTGCATTTATTTTTTGCGCTATAAAAAAAAAGCTGACAATTTTGAGAAAAAAAAAAATGTTTTGGACTTTTTTGCTATAAAACATGTTTAGTAAAAAAAAATTTAAAAATCAAATTTCATCATAAATTTTCGGCCAAAATGCATTCTCCAACATGTCTTTGCTAAAAAAAAAAACCCAATACGTGTTAATAATTGGTTTACATAAAAGTTATAGCGTTTACAAATGGCAGGAAAGATACTCGGATTTTTAATTTTTTTTTATACTAATAATGGCGGCGATCAGCGACTTATGGCAGGACTGCGGCAGACATTCTGACACAAATGGGGGGGGGGGGGAACTGGCTTGGGGTCACTGACATCCCCAGTGACCACCAATACAGTGATCAGTGCAAAAAAAAAAAAAAAAAAAAAAAAAAAAACACAACACTGACACTGTACTAATGGCACTGGGGAGGAAGGGGTTAACTTTTTTATTCACTGAAAGGGTCAACTGTGTGAGGGGAGTGTTTTACTAGGGGGCGGGGGGTGTGTACTGCAGGGGGACACCCTGATCGGGAGAGATAAACTCTTCTCTCCTGATCAGCGTGTCCGGAGCTGTCAGGGAACTGACAGAAAGCAGAGCTACTGCAGCCCTGCTGTCTGTCAGCGATTGCCGCTAATCGGCGGGACACGGCGGCTGACACCCGCGGCCAGGATCGACGGTGCAGGTAGGGCGGCGGTGTGCCCCCTACCTGTTTTGCAAAAGCGCGTTTTAAAACGCGCTTTTGCCCAGCCGTGCCGACCTGCCACCGTATTTCTACAGTGGCTGGTCGACAAGTAGTTAACAAACAATGTACAACAATGCAGGAAAAGAATGCATGTCTTACCCTGATTTTTGCATAACTCAGCATATCAAAGGCTGTTTCATATGTAGGCCAGGGGGCATTAACACAGTACTCAGTCACAAAATTGTCATCCTGAAGCAAAAAAAAAAAAAAAAATACATTAAATAAAAATGGACAGGCAGATGGCATTTTAAAATCTAGATAAGACGGTATACCTTTATTTTCACTAGACTGTCTTTTGCTTCATCCACAAGCTCCTGCCAGAGAGACTGTCCATAACTTCCAATGGATGCGGATGCCATTTTCTCCAGTATGGTGTTGACTTTAACTTTATACACAAGCTACTCAAAAGAAGACTCTGTTTTAGTATAACATGCTAGCAACCTGCCTTTGTGTTAATACCCACAACAACTGGCATATTCATAAAAGGCATCAACAAAAAAACCTAGCACATCTTCAATGTCATATGCCAAAACTTAAATTAAAAACGTCCTGTTCCCTAACTCAAACCATAAAAAACATCTCAAACAATAAATATTATGAAAGTCTCTTCACCATACAATGATAATGGAGATCTCCTGTGCTACTAATACCTGGTAAATAAAGTGTGTGGGAGCTGCTAGCACCTAACCATATACCAAGTGGAGATTATAACTGACTAAACAAAATGATGCATTTTGTTTAGTCTCTTCACCATACAAATGTTCATTGAAAAACAGTTTCACGAGGCCTTTCATGTATATAAACGATGTGCGCAACTGCAACATTTATTTCAGGTACTTATATAGCGCCGTCAATTTATGCAGCGCTTTTTTACATATATATTGTACATTCACATCAGTTTCTAACCCTCAAGGGGCGTACAATCTGAGGTCCCTAACTCACATTCATACATACACATACTAGGGCCAATTTAGCTAGGATCTAATTCACCTACTAGCATGTCTTTTGAGTGTGGGAGGAAACCGGAGTACCCGGAGGAAACCCACGCAGGCACAGGGAGAACATGCAAACTCCAGGCAGGTGGTGCCGTGGTTGGGATTCGGACCAACGACCCGAGTACTGTCAGGCGGAAGTGCTAACCATTTAGCCACTGTAACATACTGTAAATATTATTCTCAGAACAGATGCAACAAAATATCCTGTGATTATTCAGACGCACCAGAGCTTTAGGCCTCATTACAGAAAGGGGCCATTCACGATTACATGCGGGAGACCCAAAGGGGGTGCCCAGGGATTAACAGCAAGAGGCAGCCCCATTGAAAGCAATGGGAGGCTGACAGCTCCTGCAACTAATTGCGTCTGCTCACCTGTAATGGCTCACGGAGCGATTACCTTTGAATGATCAGCCCTGGACGAAGACTTTCTGCATACAGGGCCGATCATTAACTTGCTCCATCAGTGATTACTTGAGAATGGCTACTATTAGCTGTGGGAGCTGTCAGCCTCCCACTGCCTTCAATTGCAACTAATTGCTAGGAACCCTGCTGGGTCGCCCAGGTGTAAACACCAACAGCCCCATTCACTCTTGTGAATGGGGCCTTGAACCTTATTAGATTTTCAAGTCAGAGAGCATTTTTTAGCAGACTTTTCTTATGTCTCTTTTCTCCTCTCTTCACTGTCTTTTCCTTTTCTTATATCTCAAGCAATGAATTCAAACATAAAACAAATATCCACATAGTATAATATTGTTACAACTCCTGAATTGATTAAAACTGAAAAAATTATGCACTGGCATATAATGGTGCTACAATCTACACCAGATACAATAGAATATTTTAACCCACAGCCCTGCTGCAGATCACAGAAGTGTGCGAAAGAAAATATTATATTTTTCTATTTCAATGGTTTTTATTAAATTTTTTAAACAGTATAAACAGAGGCAATAAAAACACGCCCACGCAGGGGCTATCAATTGCACAGATAAACAAAATGCAAAATAAAAAAAAAAAAAAAAAAAAAAGGGGGAAAAAACAATGCTCTAATGCCAACAGGGCAAAAGGTACGCCCACGCAGGGGCTATCAATGGCACATAAGTTACAAAACATTAATGTAACTGATTATAACAACTAAATGCAGCTGTCCTAGTCACACCAAAAACAGAGAGAGAGAGAGAAAAGGAAAAGAAAAAAAAAAAAAAAAAGGGGGGGGCAAAGAGCAGGGATTCAAGAGCGCCAACACCGAACGCCATTACATCCCCAGACTAGCTGGGGAGAGTGAGGGAAGGGCATATTGCAACCACGGCTCCCATATTTTCAAAAATTTACGTTGGGAGTCATTGCAGATACTCGACATCTGTTCGTTGAGCATCATAGAGGTCATACGATCCCGCACCCCCTGAAGAGGGACAAACGGACTCTTCCAGGCCTGAGCAATTGTTCTAGTGGCGGATAAAAACAGATAGGAAGCCAACTTCTGCTGGTGAGCCAAGAGGCCCGGTATGGGGCAATGAAGCAAAGCATAGAAAATTATTATATTTTTAATGGTTTGAGATTTTGTATGGTTTGTAATAAGGAAAAGGATGTTATTTAAGTTTTGGCACATGATATTGAAAGAGAAGTGCTAAGTTTTACTTTACTGGTGTAAATGTGGGTGCTTTTACACTTTTTTCAAAGCAGCATCAAAAAGCAACAAAATGGAAAAAAACAGCACAGATTATTGTGATTATATTCATTAAAGGAGTGAAGGTGGCTTTCACCAAACATTCACAAGTAGCGTATAAATTACTGTTATTTAAACCATATGTACCTAGAAGACTTACCAGCCAATTCACTGCTTTCTAAATATATTAATTTCATTATATAGGAGAAGGGAATTACTGAGATTATACCTCAACATCCAGTCCAAACTGTATAGCAAACTTTTCTGCTTCCTCAAATTTAAGCTTGTGAAGTAATCGACTTAACCTGGAAAAAAAAAAGAACAGATAAGTAGAAAAGATCCACACATCTCTGTAACCCTGTCATTTACATGATATACCTGTTTTCTGGTAAAGCTTCTGTTAGACATCTCAGTGCAAGCACGCTGACCAGACCTTCAGATAACCTGAATATGCAATTAAGAAAAGACTTTAAAAGGAGAAAAAAAAAAAGGAGCACATATTAAATTATTTGTACGTATAAAACATACCTCTCATGGTTATCATATATTCCTTCTAGAAGATATATTGTGTCCTGTTAGAGATAGAAGCGTTTAGTTTAAGATATATAAACATTTTCAGCAAAATGAGAATCCTCTTTCAAGAGGGAAATCATTTTACTCTTTTCTAAAAGACAAAACAAAAAAAAAAATAATAATAAAGTAATGAAAAGGTATGTACATACAGAATGACAGGCACTAAATTTAAAGTCAATTCATTACTGCATGGAAGTGAGCTCCTCCTTTCTATAGATTGGAGTGGGCCCCAGGGAATTCATTCCCCCCCCCCCTGAAATTTTAGAACATTCACGCTTGAAGAGGAAAGAACACACATTAAACTCACCATTGTGATGCCAATTTGAACAAGACTGGAAACATCTGATACTTCAATAGAATACAAATGGTGCATTGTGGGCAAGGAATAAACTGCCAGGTTTCTCATCTGTGCAAGAAAAAAAGCAAAAAAAAAAAAAAAAAAATTAAAAAAAAAAAATGTAGGGAAGTGAATTGTGAAATAGAAACTAGAGCAAGTCTGCATTGGATTCACAGAGGGAATGCAGCAGTTTTTGAAGTAGAAAACTACACAGCTTTTTACCATGTGTGACCTTAATCATATGGGATTGTCAGCAGAATTCCCTCAAATGGCTGTAATATATTACTTGACTTTTAGAAATGTTTCCTTTTCACCAAAAAAAAAAAAAAAAAATAAAAAAATAAATAATAATACACCTTATGGGGACTTTCCCTTCCTCCATTTACCTGCCCCCCCCACTCTCATCTGCATTTTATCTTAATATAATCCCCTCACCAGCTAATATAATTTGTGGCATTTGCCTCCCCCCCACCTTGTTACCCTAACGTCTTCAAAAGTAGGTTGAGCATTTAGAGTGCTGGAGAACATGTAATTAAGCAAAAAAAAAAAAAAAAAAAACTTGATTAGTTTTGTGATGTGGGTAGTCTCACAGGAGGCTATTAATTCACGGTAATATATGTACCACTTGTGGCACAATGGCATATACAGCTATCATCTAAATCTACTTAATGTAAAATTTAGCACTTACCTGTTTATCATTCGGAAGTGTTAAAACTATAAGTTTAAGGTTAGTGTCTGTTCGTCTGCAAGAAGACATAGCACATGTTATATAATAATTATGCATTTCACAAAACAAAATTTACTAAAAAAACTAGTAGTAATAACTTTTGGAAATACCGTGTAACTGAAGAAGAATCCCCTTCTGTTGTTAAAAGAAAGTCTGATATTCGAAAGGAAGGCCAATCCCATATTAAAACCAGAGTATACACATCCCATACACTCACTCAGAATGCCCTGAAAGTGAAACATGTATTACCACTTGCTGAAACTGAGGGAATAATCTGAAAAAAAAAAAAAAGTCCAGTGTTTCCCCTAACATTTTTTTCTCAAGTTACTGATATGAAAGACTAGCCAGGTGATACCGAAACTGATACTTTTGCAGTGCGATTCGAGCCCATATAAAATGAATGGGCTCAAATTGTACTGCAAAGAATTGCATGAGATTTGAATAAGAAAGTGGTGTGATTCCTGTCCGAATCATATGCGGTTTCCTATAAAGCTCCTATGTGAACCCAGGCTTGTCAAAGTGAGCCTGAGTTCACACAGGAGTGGTGCAGGAAACCTCCTTTCATAATGGGTTCCACCAGCTCTGGCTCCCGATCCGACTATGAACATCAGTGGCTGCGGCTTGGGCTCCTCCTGCCTCTTTCATGGCTCTCTGCCCGCAGCCTCCAACAGTTCCAGCCATCCACTGTACTCACTTTCCCAGTCTGGCTATACCAGATTGCAGATCCTTCGTTGTCAGACAACGAAAAGCCATTTCACCGGTCTGGGAATTTGAGACCTCTGCGGCTTTATCTCTTCTCATTGCAGTACAGACTAGATGGCTTTTGATTGGTCAGCACCCTCCATGTGACAATGCTGACCAATTAGAATTACTACAGTGTCAGCACTATCTGCTACAGACTGTGTACAGAACAATAAATGACAATGAACTACGTAATGAATGCACATCTTGTGCAGGTGGAGTACGTTGAAATGTTTACCATGCTTTTATTTTAATACTAGTGTGCCCCACTTACATGTTCATCCAGAACAAACAACAGGTTGTCCAAAATCTGTAGTTTCTGTGCACCTTAACATCAAAGGAATATAAACATAAAAGTAATTCAACTCTGTGGTTTTAATATTTAAACAAAAAACTGAATAATAAGTAGTAGTTACAATTAGTGAGCGTAGTGTTACCTTGGATCATACTAGAATCAGCAATAGTTTGAACAGCAATGTGTTTTTTCACAGTATCCATCTTCCACTTTGAGAGAGCATAATCACCCCTTCCCTGTTGTGAACCCAAATAAAAACAACATTAACCTATACCCTTTTTACATTAATTTTCTATAAAGCAGTTGGCAGGATTGCATGACAGAATAATACCTCATCTGAGGAAATGATAGGTCTATACTGCAATTTCCATCAGAAGCATACCACCATAAATTCTGTGTTAATTCAGCATAACAAACACTGTATTATTATTTAAAAGAACTTTAAGAGTAAACTGAATTCCTTAATCCAGTGATGTTAGCACATAACAGGTCGTGTTTATGCTCATTCAGCAACCCGGGCTCCCAAAACCCAGTATTTCCTGGAAATTACACACTGCTAGCTTTAACAAACGAAAAAAAAAAAACCCACTCCCGTCCCCCTTTCATGCCTTACTATATGTAAGAGGCTTACATACCAGTGATGCGTCAATAGTGGCTATGAAACTAGAAAACTAGGTCAAGATGTGCGTACCAAAGAAAAAAGATCAGACGGCACTGGATTGGGTACTTTTCAATTTAATGGTCTTTTTTTTTTTTTTTTCTTTCTTTGCCTTATCTATATATCTTAATTAGATTGATATTGAAGGAAAGAGCATCAAGACCACAGAATGTATGAAGAATAAATGTAGAAGTGACAACAAGACATTTGTAAGACACGGTGGCTAGAGAATAAAAACACAAAGAGAATTAAACCATTTACAGGAGAGACGAGAAGACAAGAGCACAAACCATTAAGAGAAAAGACATAGCAGATCAAGGAGCTACTTTTACCAGGGCAACTAGGTGAAGAAATCAGTTTTTGATATTACAAAAGATTTGTAGAGTGTGTTACAAACTTGCTTACCCCGACAATTAGTTGGGTATCACTTGTCAAATCCCCGATCACTAAATTCAAACAACTTTCAGTGTGATACTTTTCTGTGGATGTAAAACAAATCTTGAGCTTCCCTTCCAACTGTTGAATGAATAGGCATGACAGTTAATTCAAACCTTAACAGAAAGATTATTGTGATTGTTGAGATGTGTCAAAAATAATGACCTCCTTTGCAGAGCTGAAGTCCATCTTCTCCACAGCTGTGAAAAAAAATAAAAAATGTTGTTTAGCAAATTCAATGTTTAATATTTTTGAGCTAAAAAGTGTGTGTAAATTGCCAAGCCAACTGTCAGATGGAAGCTATTGTTCAGCTAAATAGCCACTTGATCCCTTTTAAGTACCCCCCAGTATGTTTGCCTCCTACTCACAGCCCTGCCATGATTCCCAGGCTCCACACTTCCACTGGCGGACCTGGGACCTGCTTGGTGTAGCGTATACGAGAGCGACACCAACGAACGTCCTCTTCCTAAGGACCCAAAAGTGACACGTAAAACGTCACTTCCGTATCCTGCCATCACCTGCAATCTGTACTCGATTAGCTTTAAAAGAGGGCAGTTGAGACATCAGTGGTATAATAGACCCCTCAAGTCAAAATGTTTGGTCTTTTTTTGTTAATTTAGCAAAAAATAAAAATTCCAGTGGTGATTAAATACCACCAAAAGAAAGCTCTAGTTGTGTGAAGAAAACGATAAAATTTTAGTTTGGGTACAATGTTGTATGACCGCGCAATTGTCATTCAAAGTGTGAGAGCGCTGAAACCTGAAAACTGGCCTGGGCAGGAAGGTGTAAAATTGCCCGCTTTGAATTGGTTAAATAAGTGACTAAGTCCAACTCCAACTAACACATTAAAATTATATAATGCTTGGAGGGTGTTAAGTAATGTTCAGGCTCAAAAGGATTTTTTCTTCTTTACAAAAAAATGCAAAAATTGCTCTGGCAGTGGTTAATACAGCTTCAAATATGCATCTTGTGGATGTAAAGGTTTTTTGTTACTTCAATAAAGTGTGTGTGTCTGTGTGTATACACATATACATACATACATACATACACCACACACATATATATACACATGACAGCAGTACACTAACAGTACACTAATCTTCCTAGTGAATGGCTGTGAAGGGGAGCATATCAGGCTGTGATCCCAGCACATCCAGAAAACAGACTACGCTGGGATGGATGTGCTCTCATGCCTAGCATGGTCAGTTTGAAATAGGAAAGCAGTGGGACTGGCAGGATCACCAGGCATATAACAGTACATAAAGGAAGAAATACAAAAGAACAGGATATGTTTTTAAACACAAGTACATGGTACAACAAACATATCAGAAAAATGAAATATTGGGGTATCATATTCTTTAAAGTAGTATTAATCCCAAAAACAAAAATTTTACATATATCATATTACCAGTCCCTAGATGTGGTGGCAGTGTTCGTTTTTTTCTGGTGTTGTGGAGGGGAGGAGTCGGTCTGGCTTGCTTTTCATTTTTTTTTTTTTCTCATTTATTTTAACCTGTCCGGTAACATATTTCCTGTCTTAGGGTGGTACCTCTACCTATGGAGAAGCAACGGAGTCACCCTTGGACAGCAGCACGGTATGGAGAGGGTAGTGTTAGATGGGCTTGCAGATTTAGATGGACTTTAACCATTTGCAGCCCGCCCTATGGCCGAATGGCGGGCGGCAAATGTCATCAGCGTTCCCGGTGGACGCCATATGGCGTCCTCCCGCACATGCGCAGATTGCGCTCCTGCAGAGCGGCGCAGCGTCGCGATCTGTCACCGGCCATGTACCTCGGACACGGCCGATGACAGATCTGAGTATCGGCCCCGTTGCCGGTACCATGTGACCTGCTGTGACCAATCACAGCAGGTCACATGACAGTTGTATACAATGGATGGCTTCATTCATGCCATCCATTGTATACTAGTGTCTAGCTGTGAATGGTCACAGCTAATCACATGCACATAGACGCTGAAAAGGCATTTGACAGAGTAGATTGGGATTATATGTTGGATACACTGGAAGTATTGGGGATGGGACCCAGGATGAGAGAATGGATAAGGAAATTATATAGTCAACCCTTTGCAGCAGTCATGGTTAATGGGGAATTATCAGAGTACTTTAGGATGCAAAATGGAACTAGACAGGGATGTCCTTTGTCTCCACTGTTGTACGTTCTATCTTTGGAATCTTTGCTGGCTACAATAAGGA